AGAGCCTTGCATTTGGGTGGCGAAAAGCACATACCGTACTTTGATGCTTCAATCGTCAAGCGGTTTAATGCAACTTGGACGACCTGTGGATCGTCACCCAGCAAGACGATATCATCAGCATAATCCAAATCAACAACTCGACTACCTGGGAGGAGCTCAACGCTAGCGTTCAACGAATCGCTCAGAGCGTTTTTCAGGACATCCTCAATGGCAAAGTTGAATAGGAACGGAGAGATAGGGCATCCTTGTCGAACTCCACTGGAGACCACAAAGGTAGGCGAAAGCATGCCATAAGCCCTAACCCTGCCCGAGGTCAGACTGTATAGAGCGCGCAGTATGGAGACGAACTTCTCGGGGACACCGTTCCTCAGAAGGCACTGCCACAGTACTGTACGATCGACAGAATCGAAGGCTGCACGGATATCCAGGAACACAGCAATCGTTGGCCTCTGATACACATGGCGGAGCTCGAGGATCTGGCGAAGTGTGAAGATTTGATCGATGCAGCCGCGACCAGGGCGAAACCCAGCTTGTTCTTCTCGTTGCAATGATTCGCGTGTTGGGGATAGCCTGCGAAGTATGATGGACACCAGCAGCTTGCAAACGACGGGGACTAAACTTATTCCTCTGTAGTTGGAGCAGATTGCGCGCAGGCCCTTTTTGAAGATGGGTACGACTATCGATTCACCCCAAGATGATGGAACCTTCTCTTTCGACCAAATTTTCGAGAACAAAACGGTGAGTTCTCGGACCAGCGATGCGCCACCATCTTTAAATAGAGCTGGGTGAAGACCATCAGGGCCGGGAGCTTTATAACGCTTCAGGTGCCGGAGCTCCTGCTCGATTTCCTGAGAAGAGGGAGGGTCTGTTGGGGTAGACCACTCGGCCCCAGCGCGAGCGCCAGAAGTAGCAGATGGAGCTGGGGGCCAACAAAACTGCGAACCAAAATGTTCGGCCCATCGCTCCAACCGTCGTTGAAGATTGGTGATTAAGGTGCCATCCTCTTCGCATATTGTTTCACTTATACCAGATCGAACACCTTCGGTGACTCGAAGGAGATGGAAGAGTTTCCTGGTATTACCACAGAGACTAGCAAGCTCCATCTCCCTAGCACGTTCACACCACCAAGCTTCGCGGTCCATTTGCAGACTCCTGCGCAACTCTCGACCAAGGTATTGGCGTTCTTCAACGTGTCTCGAATCCGATGGGATCAAGCGGCGTTTGTCCATCAGCGACAAAGAGTCGGCGGAAATCCAATGTTTCGGTGGGTGACGGGTAACTCCACAAGTGTCGATACTGGCGGAAACTAACGCATCTTTGATATGCACCCACTGCGAATCGAGATCACCGTCAATAGTTGAGCCAAGCAAAGTTGACAGTGAGGCTTGGTACCTGGTTAAAACCGCAGCGTGTTGTAGATTCGCGAAGTCCGGTCGGTAGTGGGCGCGCTTAGGTGATCCTCCGAAACGCATGCAAATCTTAGCACGAACCAATGCGTGATCAGAGTCTAGAAAAGTTGACCAGTACGATCGGCAGTCCGTTACGCTTCCGCGCCATCTGTAGCTGATTGCTATGTGGTCAAGCTGGGAGCACTCTTGCGTTTGTGAGGGCGGGCGCCAGGTAGCAGTCTGTCTCCTCGAGTGTCGAAAACTAGTGCTCGAAAGAAACAAGCGATGATCAGAGCAAACAGCAAGTAGTCTGTCTCCATTGTCTGATCGACTGCCACCGAGACCAAAACTACCCCCAATGTGGTGCTCGCTTGGTAGAAGGCGGCCAACCCGTGCGTTAAAGTCCCCGGCAAGAATGACTATATCCGTCCGTTTGGAGGAACGCAGAATTTCATGTAGTTGTTGGTAGAAGCTATCTTTAACTGCATCCGGGCTGCAGTCTGTAGGGGCGTAGGCGGAGACGACAAATAAGGCACGCTTAACATCTCGACGCCTGCTTACGTTACATGAACCTCTTAGTCTGACTGCACATAGTCGGCTGTTGACTGGGATCCAGTCAAGCAGAGCTGATTCAGCCCTGGCACTTAATACAACCCCAACACCAGCTTGACCAGTGGCGGCAGATTCTGGGTCTCCGGAAAGCCGCAAGTAGTATTTGGCGTCAGAGTTTACCGGAGAGGCCATTCTGATGACGGCGCTAGAGTCTTGTAATCTGGTCTCTGAAAGGCAACAGATGTCTACCGATAGCGTTTCAAGAGTACGGGCCAGACATGCTTGTCGTCCGATCTGCATCAAAGTTCGAACATTAAACGCTGCGAGGATGAATGGAGAACCAGGTCGGAGAAGAGCTGGAGCTTCGGTGGAGTAAGAGGCGGTTGCGATCGCAGGACATTGAGAACCGGGAGTTTGGCTGTTACTTCCATCAGCTGCGAGACGTGGGTCGTTTGTGACGGTGACCGTAGAAGACACAAGAGTACATGTAGGTGAAGGACGGGAGGTGGGGTGGTCTGTGAGTGGACGTTGAGCGGTTGAGTTAAGACAGAAGAGCGGCATAGCAGTAGTAGTAGTGAGCGGTGTAGTCCATGATTCGTCAGTGGGCGTGATACTACCCGGTTGCCCAGGCCGAAGTAGAGGGTTGTCTTAGGGGGCCCTACCCCGAGCCTTTGATCAAAGATCTAACCTACAAGGCAGCAGGGCGATGTGAGGGCGTCGCAACCCGTTGGGAGCCGGTGACCATGTAGATGGTTCATACGCCTTTCGGTCCGTGAAGGACCAGGGGCCCAACTCACCCTTAAAGTACAATGCCTCTCAGGGAGGGGCAAGGGGCAGTGACTTTATTTAGTGGCGAGTCACATCCGCCACGTCGCAGTGTTGTTAAACGGACATATGTGGCTTTTTATAGGGAGAACGCTTGCCAGGCGAAAACCCACCACGTCCTGGAACACTGCCGCCAAACCATTCGCTGGAACGGGAAAAACCCGAACCACCCAGCTGGCACCACGAGGAGGTTGTTCGGCAAGCCATATATATATATATATATATATATATATATATATATATATATATATATATATATATATATATATATATATATATATATATATATATATATATATATATATATATATATATATATCGAAGTCCTTCCTGCTATGATCCAGGCAATTAAGGACTTCTGAGCTCCGAAGTCATTCAAGCACCTCCGTCTATTTTGTTGTTTAAT